CCTTCAGGGAGCGTATTTCTATCTCGCGACAAATGACTAAAACGGGACTGTCACTGAGCTGTAGAAAGTTAGGAGAGTTCTGACGGATCTGATCTCCCGCTGAGGCCTCTCTGTGCAAAGGAGGCTAAAAAAGAGAAGGGGCAGGTTTGTGCGAAGTACCAGAGCGCTCGTGTCACAGAGCTGGAGCTGAAGCGCGAATCACCTGAGCTCTGGATGGAGGTACGCCACGTGCTGTCCTAACGGTGAGCGTCCCAAATGATGTATTTATCCGTGGACTGGACGCACACCGAGAAGCATCACTCACTGGAGCGTGTCTGCTAAGCTATGTGACTGCAACATCACACGTTTGGTCAGCTAACATTTTTATTTTTTAATCTTTTATTTATTCCTTCATTTATGTATTTAGGTCTCAAATGTGTAAGGGTCTCACCATGCAGCATGGACTCACAGTGATCCTCCTGTCTCAGCCTTCCCTGCACTGGAGTTACAGGCGTGCACCAGCACTCTCGTTTTCAGTGGCCGGTATGGCATCTGGTATCGGGGATTGAACCTGAATCCTTGAACTTGCCAGGCAGGTGCTTAAACCACCAGGTTATCTCCTCAGAGATGGCCCTCAGCCAACATTTTTAGATAGTTCCTGTGCTCTGTATGTGCCCTGTATGTAAAAAGCCAGTCTCCTCTAAGCAGGGAAGGGCAGCAGTGCCAAAAGTCACACCCTACTCAGCCGCAGTAGTGAGGGTGATAGCTTATCGGATAATGTCACTTGAGAAGTCTCTGAAAATAATTTACTAAACTTAAAAAAAAATAAAATAAGCTATTATATGCTGGCTTGAGTGAAAAATAAAATATATTCTTATTCTACCCTAAAAAACTAAATCAGTGAAAGAAAATTAAATAAGAAATAGGACATTCAGGCTCGGTACCATGGCATGAGCACCATGTAACCCCAGTCTCTGGGAGACTGGGGCAGGAATATCCCAAGTTCAAGCCCAGCTTTGGTAATTTAGCAACACAGTAGGATCCCATCTCAAATAAAAGGGGTTGGGCATGCAGCCCCATGCAAAGTCCTTGGACTAAATCCTAGGGCCAGAGGGAAGGGGAAGGAAGGACAAGGAAGAAAAGGGGAACAGAGGGGACAAGAGAGGAGGGGAGGGAAGAAAAGATGTTTGAAGACAAAACTGATTTCATTTTTGAGAACTTTCTTTTAGAGAAAACAAATCATGTGAGCAAGAAAAAAAAATCTTGCCTTTCCTCTACCCCCAAACAAACAGGTGGTTCTGGGTGTTTAGTAGAAAAAAACTCACAGATGGTGACAGGCATTTTCTCTGCCTCGAAGCTGAAACGTATATCAGAGAAAACATTTTCATCCCAGTTATCCTTACATAAATTTGTACTGCACATTTTCCTGAAGATATCTCTGGTTGGGAAAAAAAAAATGTAGTCTATAAACTGGAGAACCAGGGAGAGCCAATTTGATTTGAATGAAAATCCTTCTTAAAACATCCTTTCTGGTCCTTTGCTGAGTCCTACATGGAGGTCTATGTTAAACCTGTTGTTCCTATAAAGATTCTACGCAATTTGCTTAGCTCTTCATAACCTTTCACTGAGTCCTACCACCTTCACTTACAGGTCTCCTTTGAGGAAATGTGTGTAACAAATATGTTCAGCCTCCGAATGTCCTGGGTACCTGGGAAGCCAGGATTTTCTTCTACTTCCCTTCTCAAGACAACTAAAACTTAAAAATGTCCAGAAGACATAAGTATCACATTAAATTTCCCCTTCTCCCCGCTTCTTCCTGCATGAACACTACAGTGTGCATGGTGAATTACCCAAATATCACAGTCCAGAACAAGTTTGGCCCTGAGCTTGGAGCTAGCCTTCCTTGAACACAGCTGTTGGGAACCAGGGTCATTTGAAACCAGCTCCTGAGGGAACCTCCTCCCTGAAATGCTCCCCTCCATGCACATGTGTGGGCAGGGTATTATTTCAGTGTCCTCTGTATTAGCCACATAGGTCATATGTTTCAATCTCCAACTAATTAGGTTCTCCAGTCCCCTGTATGAAGTAAATGAGTGATCTGCATCCAGCCCACTTAGAGAAAAGCCACCACAACGCTTGGCACATTTTGGGCATTTCTCAGCACAGTGAGGAAAAAATAAATGACCAATGCAGACAAAATGGGCATCCAGTGAGGGTCACTGCACAAAAAGTGTAAAACGGCCACCATCTATAGAAGAATCAAGGGCCTGCGCTTCTGCCAGTGCAATTCATGAGAAAAGAAGAATTCAGGGTGGACACAAAGCTCATCAACTACGACACAAACCTGATTCTTCCCAACATTCAGCCTGTTAATGCTAGTTTACCATGGAACGCTTTTAATACTGTCGTTAAAATAATTATTGTCATCTAGAAATTTCTGACAAAGAAGTGTCTCTCAAGCACAACGTCACTCCCACTTCATTGACTTTACCAGGACGCATGCAAGCCCTCCGCACTAAGGTTAGGTTTAGGCTACTTTTCTATCATCTACAATTACCTTCCGATTTTTTTCAGGAAACGTTGCCAATCTTTAAAAAACAGGAGAGTTCATTACCCAAATCATAAATTTTCATTCAAAGGCACGTGTAGAACAGATATATAAAAATGAAGATCATGTTAACGTGTCCAAATGTGCTTGTTTTCTTAGAGGACTAACTATGTAAAACCACATTCAATGGGGGAACTCCAGACACCTGGGATGCAGGGAAACGTAAGCGCATGAGGATTTCTAAGTAAAGTGATAGTCTTGTCAATTTTCTGTTACAGCCGTCATCAAATGGATAAAGATTACGTCAAGCAAATGATTATTATTTCCTTTGAAAGAATTCCAGGGCTTTAGGCCGCAAAAGATAAGTTTCTGACAACTTTCCATTTGTTTTTGGACAACTTTCTACCTACTTTTATACTGGATGAATCCATAGAGTGCCTACTAATATTCATTATCAATTTAACTGGAGTACAAGATTTCTGGGAAAGCGAAGGGATTGTGAGGACTTAAACTCATCAACAGGGTAAAAAGTTCATACCTGAATGAGCAGTCAGGAGAGGGGACCTAGAAAGAGCCATAAGGTCCTGGGGCTGAGTGTGGGGCCCACATGCAGCCCCGGGCTCCTCCTCTTGGTGTTCTTCCCCTGTTCTCTGCTCTCTGGACACCACGAAGGAAGCAGCTGAACCTTGTGCTCCCCGTTTGCCAACATAGTGAGAATCCATGCAGACTCTCAGGGATGGGGTTTGCCGGCCACTGGCCGAAATCTGCAAAGCTATGAGCCAAAGGAAACTTTTCCTTCATTGAGGTGATTTGTCAGGCATTTTGATCTAGCACAGGAAAGCTGACCAATCAAGATAGAATGTAAAAGTTTCAAAGATCCATGAATCAGTCTGATTCTATTACAGACAGGAATGTGTATGAAATATCTCTACATAGTACACAGTACAGCATGAATAATGCGTTTCTAAGATTCCTTCCAACTCTAAAACATACACTGCTACTATTCCCTACTCTTCCCCCTAATACCTGTGCTGAAGCTCCCTGATTTTGTTCTTCCTTTTACCTACAGTGTAAACCTATGATATAAACACATTTACTTTTAAACTCACTCATACAGCTCAATTATCAACTCACTGACTATAGCTTACAACCTCTATCATTTCTTCTTCTTTACTGCCCCTCATGCACAAGAACTTGACTGCTGAGTGGCTTCACCCTGGGCTGGAATGCAGCGGTGTGAGTGAGCCTCCTTCCGCATGGCTGGCCCTGCCTGTGTGGCTGTCTCTGCTGGGTGGGCGCATCCACACTGCCTCTTCCACACTACGTGATTCAATGCTTCTGGCCAGCTTTTACATTAAGGTTCTGGGCTCTGCATATTATACTGCTAGGAATACTTCCTGCGCGTCTCCAATCCACCAGGTGAATTTCCTCTGCATTACAGATAACTGTCCTCATCCTAGGGAACAGTTTCTTGACAACATTCACAAAGCATTCCTTCTTTGGAGGGACCAAGGTGTATAACCAAGAGTTTGGGAAACAAAAAAATAAATTTAAAAAACCACAAAGTGATACATCACTCAGCACAGATAAATGTTGAATAGAAGACAAACATTGCTAGACCTTGTACGTTCCTTTATGGTCCATGACCCCATCCTTCCCATTCCTTTCATCTTTAAGAAAACTCTATTTTCCTATATTCTAGAATCAAGGAATAATAAAGCACAACACAAAACAAACACAAAGGAATACAGAAAGAGAAGAGATAGTTATGAAAATGTTAAATGCAGAAAGACAACTCCGAGGCGTCCAATCAGGTGGTGTTCTTAATTAACTCTATACACATGACTGAAAGTCAGAGTTGCACAACAGAAGACCCTAACCATTCCTTATTCTCTAGCACTCATAGTTAAGGAAGTCTAAATGCTGACCACGCTGAAAGTTACCCCAGGCTTTGGTCAAATTATAGAAGCAACACAGAAACCTGAAAACAAGCAATATTGGTTCTAGATAGATTAAAGACTAAAATGAAAAGATTATTTTTGACATAAAAGATTTTCTTCTTGGTTCTGACCAACTGCTTGCATAGCAGGAGCAGTCTTTCAATAGAGACCATTCCTTTCATTTTGAAACCAGTTACAGAAGTTGATAAAGTCCAGCTGTCTAAACGAAGGACAGGGGATACCCAGGGATAAGCAACACTAATAAAAGACTAGCAGAGGCCATTCTAGATGCTCCAGCCAAAATCAAAGTGACTAGGGAATGCAAAATCAACATCTCCTTTCATTTCCTGATTAGTGATTCTAAAAAGCCCACAACAAGAAAAGGCATGCATTGTTATAAACATTTTATTTAATGCCATTGTCCATTTAAGTATCAGAACAATCCTAGTCTTCTTAGCGATCCTTCACAAGAACACCTAGAATACAAAACTACAACAACAACACCACCAACAACCTCATACTGGAGAACTTACCACGTAAAACTGTGAGTCTGGTGGACACACTTATTTCTCCCACATTGTTGGAAGCCACGCATTCATAAATGGCCTCATCCCGCGGAGTCCGCAAGGGCTGTATTCTGAGAACTGATCCAGATCCGTCATCGAACTCTATTACCTATTAGAGGAAACAATAGCTGTCACAGGTGTTGTCACATTTGTCTACCTCTAAGCTAACCCTCCCCATGCAGTGGTCAACCAGCCAGTAGGATCGGAATAGAAGGAGCAGCATTCCAAGACTAAATTCTGGTATGATGGTAAGGTGAAACATCTGATCAAGTTTCATGAAATCTAAACAAAGAGAAAGACATAAAACTACAGATGCAAAAATGTAGATTGCTAATCTCTCCTAAAAACCACTCAGGGTTGATTCATGAAAATATTCCAGTTAGTGTTTTTAGAGCAATTTAAGCCTGTTAATTCTGCAACAGGCTTACAGCTATGATGGGGAAACGTCAAATTATGCTGTCTTGGACGGCATATAGACACATGTGGATCCATTTCATACATGCCCTGTAAGGTGAAGAATTAACGCATGCCACCTCAAATAGCATTGCTCTTCAAAGGGTCTTGTCCTGAGCAGTACAGATAAATGAACCATGAAGAGAAACTGCATAAATCTAGCACTTAGGCAGCCAACGAGATGGCTTTCACAAACCAAAAGCTCCATGGCACACACCCATCTTGCCATAAATCATTACAGTATTTGTTCTCGTCCAGCATTTTCTGCATTTTAAGGCATTCTTGCTGTAAAGTGGAGGCCTGCTTCACCAGGCAGAAAATTAATGTCCTAGCCACTAAGCCTGAATTCACTATCACTGTGAACTCTACTTTGAAACAATTTAGTAATACCAATAATCCCAGGCAACTGCAGCTAATCCAGGCATTATATTTTTTTAATCCCAAAAGATGCTGATGATGGTAAATAGATATATACAGCTAGGGAATCTTTTATCTGTTGCTCTAGGAGTGTGCTGGTCCTACCAGTTACTTACTGAAATGCTGTTCTTCATTTTTCACATACCCCAGGAATGATATTTCCACGTGCCTAAGTATGAATGAATTGAGAGTGTCTTATCAATACTGCTACGGGATGCTTATCCCCAGACTGTGTGTGTGGAGGGAGCATGAATATTTTAAAAATAGATCTGCTTGGGCCAGGGAGATGGCTCAGTAGAATAAGCACTTGCCTGGCCAAGTGCAAGAGCCTGAGTTCAATCCCTGGTTCCACCAATTAAAAAAAAAAAAAAAGATGTTCTTTAAAGCCTTTGTACACTCCTTTTTTATTCTAACTCAATAATTATACCCAAGATGTTCCCTTTCTCAATGTGTCATGATTTATCTTCACCTCTCTTAAGCATGTGCTTTTAAATGAATTTGCTATGCATCCTAGAAGATAAAACCTTCATAGTCATTAGTTTTTATTAAACATTCCATGTCTTCGAAAAATTCTGAATATTCGGTGGTTCAAAATAGAAAAAGGATCAAAACCCTCTAATATCAACTCAAACTTAACTTTTCTATTGTTACAGTTGTTTTGTTTTCCTGAGACAACACTAGGCTCTATAGGCCCAGACAGCCCCAAACTAGCACCCACCTGCACCAGCCTTCCAGTTCCTGTAATTTGAGGCATATGCCATCATAATGGGATGCTCAAATTTGATTAATTTAAAGCTAAATGCCTTTATATGTTTACATTTCTGAACTATTTCCTGCACTGAGGCCTGACTTATGAGAAACAAATACACCACCTATTACAAGCTAGTGCTGCAATTTCCAAATAGAAAATCTCATCCAGCATCCAGTACTGACCACATGCATGCCATAGTCAGAGACAGTATTTGACACTGTTAGAAGAAATATTAAAATCGGTCTCATATACAGCTACTGTAGGGCTTACGAACAGATATTAAAGATTTTTGAGACTTGATACAGTTTGAAGTAGGTGTACAGTGAGCAAGCAACCTTCACTGGGTGCATCTGCATCGCTCACATCACCAATTAGCAGAGCTCGTGCTTCCAAATGGGTAATATTGTAACTTACTCCTACTTATAACACTTTGTCACTAGTAAGCATATAAAGAAGTACTTGTCATTGACAAAAAAATTAATTTCATCTAAAGTAAAAAAGAAGAGTGCACCAATAGAATATATACACACATCATCTTATATGTGGTGTAGGAGATGTAAAGATTTAAGGTATTCTTTTTCTGTGCTACTAAAGTAACTGATTTTCAAATAAATAGAATTCATAATTTATTATCCATAAATGACAGTCCATATTTCACATTTGCCACTCTCATTAATTAAATTCTTTTACACATTTAAGCCATATGTCACTCTAGGAGAGCCTGTGAAAAGTGAGCATGATCAAAGAGCTCTTGATTTTGTACTTGCTATTTTTATAACTAGAAATTGCCTTTAGTCTGTAGAACTGTGAATGAGGCCATGAAGTAGATGAGAAACTCAGACAAAACTTAAGTGAGTTTCAACGGGGGGCACTTTAGTGTCCGGGGCACCCCGAAGATCAAGCCATCCTCTCACGTCTTCAGCTACAGGAGAGATACTGAGCTTCTTCCATGGCCACTCTGTGAATTACTGCCCACGTTTTGTCCTCCATAATGAGCACATTTATAAATCATGAGGCTCCTCACAAAGCTCTAAGACTGTATGAAACATGTTCATCCTTCAGCGCATTGAATTTTCCAAAATAAAGCAACGTAATTCCTTCAACAAGTCTGCCTGCAGTGTCAGCCTGTGTGGGCATGCATCCCTCGGGGCAGGATTTCACCCTGCCACACTGGACCAAAGGTCTCTTTCTACTGCACAGACTTTCAAGCCCAGGTGTCAGGTGTAGTGGACACCTGCTGTCCACACTGATCCTTCTCCTCGTAGCACTCCCTCAGCTCACTTCTTGTCAGAAGCTAGGAGTCCCTTCTGAAAAAAATGCCACTCCACCTTTCAGACAATGGGATTGAAGGGAACACACCCCATTCTAAGTAACAGAGGTATATTCTGCTCGGCTTGAACTGGTTAGCTTGACCTATGCACCTGCCCACACAGTTCAGTTCAGGCCTAAACATGTGAATCCATAGGAGGGCATGGGATAGGAAGCCTCGGGAAGACATGGGTTTTTCTGCATCATGTGGATTTGTTCACTTAGGATGTAACGGCCTGAGGATGATCCTGATGGATGGATCCTGACAACACTGAACTCTGGCACACGCTGAGACGAAAGTCAGCCAGGTGGATACCTCAGTTCTCCTTTCTGACGAGTCATTTGAATTTACATTGTCCATCACATCAAACATAAAGAATGTCATCTCTCCAAGATTTCAACACCTTTTATCAGAGTGAAGCAAATAAGTAACACACAAACTAAAGGCAGAGCAGGCACATTCTTCCCCCAGAGAAACAGAACAATGGACCTAATACCTCAAATCTCTGATTGCTGACTTTCTTTCCTTTTTTGTTCCAGACAATTTTAGGTCTTGGGTCTCCTGTAGCTTGACAGATGAAAGACGCAACTCCACCAGAGACCCCTGTCTGATCAACGGGAGTTCTTGTAAACCTTGGAGGTACTGAAATAAGAAAAAGAAGAATACCACAGTTCAGTGAAAAGCTGAAATGTAGACTGTTGCCCTGCTGGTCCTGCTTCCCCCCCAGCCACACTGCCAGGCACGCGTGCATGAATACACTGGGGTTACAAATTAGACGAGCACCTTCTACTTTGCAAGGAAAGGAGGTGGCTTTCTGGTCATTTGTTAGCGCTTTTATTGCTGAATTCTGTATTAAGGCAGAGACCCAATAACATCCGAAAAGCAACATCACACATTAATTTTTATTACCAGTATTAAAAAAAAAAAAATCCAATTTGTCCGCTGTAGCAAAATGAGCACATCAATCAAAGAGAGTAAAATTTTAGTTCTTTGTTCTGATGCCACTATCAGGACCCTGCCAGGAAGCAGCACAGCCACTGCTGAGCTATGAAAATTAGTGACATTTAAGAGATATTTGAGGAAATTTTAATGAGACAAAAATTATGCCCTGGATCAGAGGTTTGGGAAGAAACAGAAATAGAGAGAAGTGGCAAGTGACTTCCTAAGCAGACACTGCATTCACCACCTTCATTGGCACTAAACTCCACAATCTGCAAAAATCAAGATGAGTCAAGGAGACCCCAGAGTTGTGGCAAAAAAACTAATTAAAGATTTAAAGATTTCTAAGTCAGAAATGCCCGCAGTTGGAGCCTCTACACCCTTCCATAGCTCAGCTGGTAGAGTGGAGAACCACAGAAGTTGAAACCTTTGTAAAAGTCATACATCTTTTGTCAATGTATGCAAAACAGGATCTCACTACACAGCTCACACTCATAGTGATCCGCCTGTTACAGCCTCCCCATGCTGGGATTACAGGTGTGTACCACTGCCCAGACTCAGTGGCCGGCTCAGCGGGGTGGGGGGGCAGGCCGGTACAGCATGTGGTGTTGGGGACTGAACCTTGGTGTCTGCACTTACCTAAGCAGGCACTTAGTCTATGAGCTATCTCACCAGCCCTCTTTAAATATTTCTAATACTCACTTTCTTTTTACTAAAAATTTATCTTCCATTTATATTTTCAAAATATTTAGAAATGAATTATACAACAATACCATAAATGTAGATGAATGTTTATGCACAAAGACATCATATCATTAAGCAAAAGATCGTAAGTAGCTACATATTAAATGCCACAGAAAAATGAATGGTTAAATAAACTTTATCATAATGATGGACCACTATACAAATGGCAAATATATATATAAGGAGCTTTACAGATAAGAGAAATGTGTATGATTCATTGATAAGCCACAAGACATAAAATTTTTTAGAGGGATTTGGGAATTGAACTTATGACCTTGTGCTTGCCAGGCAGGTGCTGTATGGCTGAGCTATATCCCCAGCTCATAAAAAATAATTATATCTAAGGTTATATCTGAAAGTGAAATACACACACACACACACACACACACACACACACACACACTTGGACAAAGCATGCTAAAACGATATTGCATAATGTTATTTTAATTATTTTTCCTACTTCTTTACATCTTTCTTACATTCTTTACTTCCTATATTATTTTTGGAGATTTTTAATTCAAGAACATTTTATATACAGGGGCCCGGGAGATGGCTCCGTAGGGTAAGCACTTGCCTGGCAAGTGCAAGAGCCTGAGTTCAATCCCCAGTTCTGAAAAAACCCCACTTTATTTCCTTTTCTTTGTCCCTTCCAGAGATTTTCTTTTCTCTCCTCCTCTGTTCTAGGTATATTTCACTGGAAAATGGTTTTGAGTAACTACAGCTAACAGTTTTGGAAAGCAATCCTCAGCTTCTCAGAACAGGGGCTTGCTAGCAGGCATCTGCCCACATTCCTTCCGGTTCCCAGAGGTCCCCTGCCCGAGCACTCAGTGAAAACAAGTAGCCCCATTCTTATTACATTTTTGGATACACAGACATAGGCAGTTTTGAAAGGAAAGAAGACTATCTAACTTCACTATTTTTTAGCTGAAAATGGAAATTCCTTACAGTTTGAAAGTTTCCTAGTTTAAAGCACAGTATGCATGAAAGGGAAGGGTAGAAGACAGGAGCGAACCTCCATGCGGATGGTCCAGCAAGCATGTGTCCGCCTCCCCAGCAGATTCAAATGTCTGGGGCTGGTCACACGGAGGACCAAGAGGAAGGAAACATGCTGCTAGCCCTGCAACACTTACATCCTTCCCAGATCAAACTGGATCATCAACAGTGTGCATAAGATGATTTGAAACTAACAAGAACAATTAAATAAAACATGTTGTACTGATGTCACTTTTCTGGAAACAAAGGAGATAATACCAGTTTCAAGGCTCCTCTTCCTGCTATTGTATGCAATGCAAATTGACAATAATCACTCATTGGTGTCTAACAGAGAAATTATAATTATGAAATTAAAAGTCCTGGATTTCCATGGGAAAACACAACACATTCCATTGCTGTGCTAAATATCATGATACTGCCAATTCTAGTAACTTTCTTCTTTGTGCATACTCTAAAAAGTCACCTCTGAAGAACAAAACCCATGCAAGTACTGTTTTGAAATTCCCTTCAAGAGCCTGTGAAGGGAGCAAAGAGCTGTTTCACGAAATGACTGGGTTCTGGCAGAGGTTGACTAAACCTAAAGGAAGGGTGGCAATGGCCGTCAACTGGCATTCTGCTTTAAGGGATGATAATCTACTTCTCAACCCGAAGAATAAAGGACATTTGGAGAATTGCTGTATTCACAAAAAGGCAATGGCTACATGGGCAGCTCTTTTCTTTGTCCTGGTAGAATGTACCAAGGAAGTCAAATGAGAATTCAATACTGCAATCATCTTTCTAACCAGAAAGCAAAGGAGACAGGCTCACACATATAAAGGGAAAGAGCATAATGACCAGCGGGGCTGTCACGTTCCTCACTTGGCTTCATTTGCTGGATATATGGAAGCTTTGGTGCTAAGTTTGCAAAAAGTGTGGAAAGCTATCACAGAAAAGACCGCCAGGAAGCCACGATAGAGATTTTATTTCTGAAAATCCAAGTCTGACAACAGAATTAATGCACGGAAATGTGGAAAACTTAAAATTCATTTTAAATGTGGAAAATTTAAATGAAAATAACCAGTTAAAACCTGTTTCAATATCTGAGACTATTTTTAATAAACCCACGTAAGTACAGTCTAGTCATTCATGGCACTGACTCAGTATTCCAAAACACAATCTTGCAAGGGTCCTCGGGAGGAGGGTGAGGGGCTTCAGGGGCTTGTTCCCAAAGCCCCCTGCTTGTCTTTTCAACAAAGTTTTAATGAAAGACACTATCCTTCATGGACAAGTAAATGATGATTTTTTAACATGGGATCTGGTGTCAATTTTTCTACATTTGCCAAAAAAATCCAAATCAGAATAATGATAAACGTCATCATTCTATAGTACAATAGTAAAAAGTGGAAACAAAATAGGAAAAGCCCTTTGGGAAGCTTGTGTGTTGCCTAAACAATCACTTAGGCTGGTCAAATTCTCAGCCGGATACGGTCAAAGCTAGGCAGCCGGCCAAAGCAAAGCTTTGAGGTGGATAGAGAACTCAAGCTCCTAACTCCACCAAGTGCTCCAGGCAAGCAGAAGTCATTATTCTCAGAGCGGTAAAACACTACACAGAACCCCCTTCTCCTTTATCTTAGCTTAATAAAAGGAACTGGATGGCACACCTGCCTTCTTCTCTCAGGGTTAATGCCCACATCTAAGTCATGTTCTGAAGAAAGGGAAGAAGAGAATCCAAGCAAAGCACAAAACTAATATGTCTCCTGAAAAGCCACGAAACAGGAGCACCTCAAATCTGCGTAATGAAAATCTCTAATTTTATTCCATGAGATATAAGCATCAGTGTTATATTTGATCTAAGAAAAAAAAATACCAAGAGTATAAAGATGAGAGGGGCACTGCCAGCTTCCAGTCACAACTATTCTTACTCTCTTCTATTACTGTCTTAGCCAAATGCCACTCCCCGCCCATGACTATGTCTGCCAACTGCCACCGCTAGCCACCTGAAACCTCCAGCACCGTACTTCGGAAAGAACACTTCTGCTAAAGCTGACTGCAACAAGTTTGAAGTGCGATCTTTTATTAAACTATGGCCAGCCACTGTAGAGGTCAAATTACCATTCCAGCCAGAAAGTCTATTTTCTAGATGGAAAGAAGAGAAGCTAAGCATGCATATGAGTCAGCACTCCGGCACGGCTGATATTCCAGAATGTGTGTGTCGTGGTCGCTGGCTGTTTGCAAGGACCGTACATTCTCTGGATGCAATCACTGAGTGGACAGTGGCTCCAGGAATAGAGTCAGATTAATTTCTAAATAGTTAATAGGGAGTCACCGGCTACCGAATGAGTTTTCCATTTAAGAAGTTTGATTGTTTCAAAAAGCATACACACTGCACAGTACTTTTGCATGTAAGGATGGAAACATTTGGAGGCAGTACCATGTTTCAAGGCGCTGGGCTTTCTGAAGGTGGGATACTTCGCAATCCTTCACTGCGCACTTGCAGCAATTACCAACCAAGACCCTAGATGTTCTTGACCATCCTTATCAAAGTGTCTACGGGGAACAAAATCTTCTCTTGGCACAATACATTAAGTAGAGCTAGTGTTCACAAGACAGAATCATTGACAAATATTAGTAACATTTTTGGAAGAATGGAATTTTCAAGAAATTCTTAAAGGTTAAGGAGATGACTCAGGCTGGAAGAAACTTGATTGACCAACTGAGAATCTCTGAAAATAGAATTGTAAGAAGGATCACATGTTCCAAAGTGAAAGGAAGAAATAAGAGTGCCATTTGTCTCATTATATTTTTAATTAATAAGCTGCTTCTGTGGACATCAAGAAAATATGTCACATAGGGAACAAATCTAGCAGCATGTAACTAATTGGCGGCTTCTTTTAGCTGATTAACATTTCCTTAAATAAGAGAGCTTTGTTTTAAAGGGGCACTTGTCATAACAATGTGCTTAAAATCTTGAAGGGGGAAGGTTAATC